TTTTATTTACTTGTTTCCATTCTTTTTTCTTAAATATTAATAATAATATTACATTTGTTATGATTCTGTGGTTAGGTTAATTATATTCATGCTGATCACGTGCGCATAAATTAAAATGGCGTCAAACCACAAACCCACGCGGTGTCTGCAGCTGGATTCTGTCTTTCATTTTGTTCTCTGTCCTTGCTTCTTTTTGAAGCCACCTTTGTAGTCCTTGACTTAAACGCTAAGGAATGCTGTAAAAGCCAAGTTAGTCTCTTATCTGGCTTAAGAGATTATCTTCCGGATAGAAGAAGATGAAAGAAAGAAGAAAAAAAAGTCTGAAGAATTTTGCAGAAATTTGAATTTGGGCCTGTTCTTCAGAAATGCTCCCGCTACAGTACAGTCCACTTTAAAGGTACCAGGAGAATCGCTCAGTGGAGGAGAGCTCATCTAAGCCATTTATAAGGCTGTACAACGTAAGATAAAAGAGTTATGAGTGTTTGAAAATCATAAAAACGGTCGCCATCTTGAAAAACCGACCTCAATCCTACATATAGGCTACCGCCTATATAATAACTGGTTTTATTCCTGTTACAGTGATCATGAATCACAGTACAGGTGTGCCAGGAAGGTATCAACAGTGATATGTGTCCATGATGTACAGTGTCTTGAACCTGATTGTAATAACCACGGGTCATGTGACATGGGGGCGTGTTCATGTGAGTCACCATGGACCGGAGATACTTGTGGATCTGTTAACTGTTCACTGACTGATTGTAATGGACACGGAATATGTATGGAGGGTAAGAGGAAATACATGTACTGTCCTTAGTACATTTTCTGATACATATTGATGTACTTATGCTGTGTAGAAAGTTTGAGCTGATTCCGAGCTCAAATTTTCAAGTTACGGCCATTTTAAGAAATTGGCCAAAATCTGAAAAATACCCAAGGCTATATAGCCCATGGTTTTTTCTGAAAAATGGCTCCAAAATCACCCCAAATTTTTATTACATTTTGTGATACATATTGATGTCCTTATGCTGTGTAGAAAGTTTGAGCCAATTCCGAGCTCAAATTTTCAAGTTACGGCCATTTTAAGAAATCAGCCAAAATCTGAAAAATACCCAAGGCTATAGCCCATGGTTTTTTCCAAAAAATGGCTCCGAAATCATCCCAAATTTTTATTACATTTTCTGATACATATTGATGTCCTTATGCTGTGTACATGTATTATTAATTTGTTATTCATTATTATCATCATCCTTAGGTTCATGTACCTGTGATCCTGGATGGACTGGAGAACTGTGTCAAAAACGTAATAATTTTAAATTATATTTTCAAATTTTATTCTCTCCTTCTCCTTCATGATATAGCTTGTCCTAGAAACCGCTATGGATTTGATTGTAGGTCATATTGTTACTGCTATGGACGTGGTCGCTGTCACCCAGTGTATGGTAACTGTACCTGTGATACTGGATACACTGGAGCACACTGCTGGACTAGTGAGGGAGAGAGGGAGGGAGGGAGGGGGAGAGGGAGGGAGGGAGGGGGAGAGAGGGAGAGGGGGAGGAGGGAGAGGGAGGGGAGAGAGAGAGGGGGAGGAGGGAGAAAGTGAAGGTATTATAATCACAATATTTTTAAAGTGTTAAGTGAGTTTGTATTTCTTATATTCATAGAATGTAAGAAAGGTTATTATGGAGTCAACTGTGCTCAGAAGTAAGACACTAAAAGATTTATTATTTATTATTATTTTATTATTTAAAGGTGTATGTTTCCTGATTGTTCTGGTAATGGACATTGTTCTATATTGAATGGATCATGTTTATGTAACAAGGTACAGCAGTTATTTTTATTAGAAGAATCCCCACATAAAATATGTTTTTATAGTTAGTGTATTTATTACATATTTCACTTAATATTGACTTGAATGATAGACCACCAGGAATGTGCTATAATAACATGCTTACTGTGCACATTCAGCACTATACATGTAGTTATGCTTCTCTAATACTTACTCATTTATTAACATTGTTTTCTCTCTCTCCTTCTCTCAGGGTTGGACTGGTATATCTTGTAATATAACATTAATAGAAAATAATCAAATAAATACATCCTCTACCTTATTTATCACATCATCATCATCATCATTAGCTGATACTCCTGATGCTAGTACTGCAGTGCCAGTGATGAACTCAATCTCCTCATTACTGTCTCCTACTAATGATGTGTCACTACAGGATATTACTGTATTGAATAATGATAATAAATCTATTGATAGTTGTAATGGAACTACTACTAGGTGAGGGGGAGGGAGGGAGGGAGAGGAAGAGAGAAAGAAAATAGATTAGTATTATGCTTGTATGTACATGTAGATGAAATGATGATACTATTACTTTCTATTTCTTTCTTTCATTTTCTAGTAGTTCATCTCCTCCAGTTAATTACAGTGCTAATGATGATGATAATCAATTAATTATTATTATTATATTAATTGGTTTAAGTACTGTCACTATACATGTTATACTGTGTGCCGTTCACATATGTTGTCATGGTAACGGAGAGATAAAGTTTAACAAGTCAGAGATAAAGAGAGAACTGATGGAGAGGAGAGAATGGGAACAGATCATGTTACAGAACAGCAACTGGAATAGTAGCACTGATGAAGATTAATGTATATTCTTTTTGTATATTTATTATTATTATAAATAGCTAACAGTATTGGTCTGTTCCAGTTATGAAGTGCTGTATATCACACACATACACTGATACAGATACGCCATCCTTTATATAGTCAGGCAGGCCTGATTATATAGTTACAAGATGGCTACAAATGAATTGATTCATTACAAATTGATGTTTATGCTATGTACATGTACATGTCAGTGGCTACGGTACATTTAGAGTTGCAGTGATCTTGTGTTTACAGGAAAAGCAGTGATTATTGAGTTAACAGGAAAAGCAGTTTGAA